GTAGGTCGCGGTGTCGGGTTCCGAACGCTCCTAAATTTACTCTAGCTCCCGCCATTAAAAGCGTTTATGTTATATTGGATATCACAATATTATCGGCAAAGCATGGATTACATTACACGCCTCACAATGGTGACGTTGTACTGGATTTTATTACCAATTTTGTAATGGCTTTTAATATTTCTTGAAGCTTGACGCATATACATGGTGATTCATTATGCATATTTATTGAGACGTTGTCAACCTACATTTTAGCAATATTATAATGCAAATGTTCGGATGGATAGATGGATTTCTACTTCCAGAAAGATCTCATCAGAAGGTATCTACAGAACGGCTGCATGTAGCTTTCTGAAATTTGTCGTAGATGGAAAACATATCCTGGAAGAACGCATAGGCTACTAATTAAGTATTGTTTTTAATTCTGCCGCGGACAAAGTCGCGAGCGATATCTAATTTTGTATAAAGTCAACGATTGCAATACAGTGGTCACTCTGAGAAATCGTTTACTACAGTTTGCTCTAAAATGCATACTTAGATTTTTCTCCAAACTCTAGATACTTTCCCAATAGACCCGAGGGTAATGTGTTATAGGCCCACAAAATTCTTTGCATGCTGTTCAAATCTGATCTCCTGTAAGCTTAATTATTTGTAAAATTTGGAAGATCTGAATTACATCAGAATTGCACAAAAGTATAGTTTCGGGCTCAGGTTTTTTCAAACCATTAACTTGTTTAATTATACATGAAACAGGCGTATCAGTGTTACTCATTTCCACGAAAGTTTGTTAATGAGTATTTTATATTATGGATAAAATACGAAATATAAATACGTGCTGTTAATTCATTACGAATGTGTACGGCAGTCACTTGATATTCGCCGACATCATCAGGCGTCGGGCGAATGCGGTGGCGAAATATTTGATAGGCCAAAAGCGAACTAATGGGCACAGTTTTACCTACGCTACAGTAACCATTCGCATTGAACTTTAGACAAAGGAGTTTAAAAGCATTTATCAATATTAGCAATTTTAATTACTTGACATTTGAGTTCCCCTTCTAATTAAGTAGAACACACTATATAAAAATATTGCAGTAAAGCTAATTAGTATGATTAATTTTTAGTTCATTTTGGCATCAACAAAACTGTTTTTTTGATTTACAAATTAAAAATAATTTATCAACTCTTTTATAATCTACAAAATTAAAATGAAGACTTGTGCTCATATAAGTAAAATATGGTAACCCTACATCCGGCAGCAACGTGTGCTCGGAATATCGAGTTTTGAGGTGATAATTATTACCCCGCACAGCGCTGGCAACACTGGCGTAAAATGAAACGCCAGGGAACGGTAGGTTGGTACTAGCTTCGTAAAATATTATTTGCATATTTGTGTTTGAGTGAGATGTTATAAATAGTACAAAAGGAAATGTTATAAAATGTTATTGATAATTAAATTAATGTTGTCGAAATCATATATGAACGTTGATATAAAATTTTAAACTAAAATGACAAGTATGAAATATATCAAGAGCGTCACCAGCCAATGATCTACTCTAGATCAAGGGGAGGGGGAGAGGCAGGCAGATTTTTTTGCATAGGTAATGCTTCTTAGATAGGAAATGCAAAAAATATGGAATGGTATTTCGAATTAGTTTTATCCATTTTACATTTTTTCAACTTTTAGGGGTACAGAAGTCCCAGCTGCCCCCCATTGCCCCACCCCCTGGCTTGATGATGATTCGAGTATCTATTCTTATTTGAAATTTAACTAGAATGATTTTTAATCAACTCCATTTTTTCTATAAAAAAATGTCTAAACTAACTAGTAGCTAGTGTAACTGGAGACCAATTATCTCGGCGTTGGTCATCAGCTTTCTCATGAAATATTACCAACGTACACAGGACACTCACTATAGAGGCTGCCTGGTTAAGGATTAATTAATACAGGTTATGCTCGCGTATCAAAGATATCCCGTGGCCGCGTAATGAAGGTGTTATAAAGACAACGACATCCGATACTGACTCCCTCGACAATCTCGATACATCGCTTTTGTACAACTAATATCAGCTCTATAGCTTTATTACTCTATGCAGTGTTAAAGATAATTAGTTTTTTTTTTCGAAAAAAACAAAAAAACACTGGTCTAAATGAAATTTCTTCCACAGATTAATAAAAGTGTTTTCTCTCAATTTCTTTATGTTATAAGAATATATAATATTGTATTGTTCTGAATGTTTTTTTTTTTATTAATGTTGGCACGAAATATAAAAAATCTATTTATCAATTCAAAAACGTGTTTAAAAAAGTTTTCGTTCATCTATACTTATATAGTAAATAGGTAATATTTGTTTGTTTATATGGAATAGACTTCGAAACTATTGTACCGATTTGAAAATACTTTCATTGTTGGGAAGCTACATTATCACCGAGTGACATAAGCCATATTTATTACTTTTTTTTTTAATACCGCGCGGACTACGTTTCGACCATTGTTATATTTAATAAAATAAATTAGTTATTTAAAAGCAACAAAAATATCGTATCATGTTTTATATTTACAAATTTATATACGCAATTGTTGGCGGTAAAAACATTCAGTAAAGAGGTCGCGTACGACACACTATTTATTGTGTGTCACCGTAAGATTGCGAATACGATAATTTTAGAATCTGACCAAAGGCTCGAGCCTCGAGCCAGACCAACATAACAAATCTATTTTTCATTAATCTTTTTTATTGTTTAATAAAAATCAACAATTATATGTAAAAGTCGGTAGATAGTGAACTGTCGAGAATAATTGGATTTTTAAATGGTTAGTTTATTTCACAATTTTCTCACAGCTTTTATTAAAAAAAGAAGTTATAAATCAATTGATAATTTTACGGTAGCAATACTGTTGCACTTTATAAATGCATACAAATGTATTTTAGTGTCGAGTATAATTCAAGATGTAGGTACTTTTAAAATCCACTTGAAATAAGAAGGTCGTTCTCGTATTGATTTACGAGACATTACGATTTGTTGAAATCTTTGCTGTTTATATTTACAGCTTTATTGCCATTTAAAAATAGTATAAAATAAAGACAAGCATCATACAAATAAAATAGTTTCTTTAACTGAGTTAAGAAATGATGATTTACATTACTAGCTGTCGCCCGCGACTCCGTCAGCGTGGAATTTTAATAAAACTTAATTAGTAGTCTATTTTTTTTCAGACTATGTTTTAAATATATGTCAAATTTCATCAAGATCCATGCAGGCGTTCTGAAGATATTTTCTTACAAACTTCCATCCACCTAAGCATTCGAATTTATAATATTAGTAAGATTTGGATACATATTATTGCGTGTAATATCAAACTGAGTGTTACCCGACTAAAAAAAGGCATTGTTTTTCTCGGGTATTTTAGTAAATTTTCATACAGAGGTTTGTGTTGTTAGTAAAAAAAATCAACACTGTGGCGGATTACTGGCGGCAACACTAGCCCTACTAAATGTCGACGTTTATGTCCCCTCACTAATCATTGACATTTGACTTTGTCACGAAAGCGCGCCATTCGCGCCAAAAGATTCTAAAAATGTCTAAAAGTATTTACGTTAATTCTAATGTGTAACCTTCTATAGCCTTAAAAACTAAAGATTCTTTTATTGTTTCGTCATGTAACAGTATTTGTTATTTGTCCAGGAGTTTGCGGAGACGGCAATGAACGAACTGCTGGGTTGGTACGGCTATGAACGATTGGAGCTGAGACGCTGGGCAGCCTCGCGCGCACGCGACACTAACAGCCCCGAACAGGCCTCGGAACAGAAGAATAAAGGTATGAACCATACTAGGATGAATGAATTACTACGTATGAACGAGGCATCAAAATGTTATTATAGTGTGTATTTAAGAACTGACGCCTATGAAGTATCAAATTAATTTTGTATGGGGATTAATGTTGTACTTAATAGACGGTTGTTGTAGTGTCGGACGTACGCGCATAACGAAAAACTATGAACTATCGAGGATCAGTCTTGTAATGAAATGAATCGATCAAATAAGTACTGTAATTTACGTATTTTATTATTTTTTGTATTTATTACAGTTATATAATTAACTAAAACGACATTAAATAGATTTCTTTTTGTTTGCCAACATTTAAAAAATTGTATAAAAATAACAAAGAATTACTAGTAGTTAAATATATTTTATCATATCATTAATTTTGATTTTACATTAATAAATATCAAAAATTGAAACGTAACAATTCATAGAAATATAAGCAAAAATACCGAGAAACAAGCCCCTGTTCGATCGCAGCTGTATTTCTGTGAATTTACAAACGCCCTCCCGCGCTTTACATTTATGGTGGGAAAATGAAAGATTACGATCTGATCAAATTATCAACAATAAATTATTTTGATGATGCAGTTTTTATTATACAATTCTTAGAACGAAATTATATTAAAGCGGACGTTAATATAAATATCCAATAAGTTTTTGATGGTTTCCAAAAAGTTGAATATAAAAAATGATTTCAAATGCAAATCGAAACATTGTTGTGAAAATGCTGTCTGTCCTACTTTAGACATATGTACTGTTATGCCTACAAGAGTTTATTTTAAATTTCGTCAATTCGGGAAATAACCTTTTTCTATGCATCCTCTCCTCTATCCATAAAGCTTATTGAAGATGTCTATGGTCTATGGCTAGCGGTCATTTTGTTATTTTAGCTTCGCTAAGGGCGTCGGTGGCTCAGGGATCAAGCACTTGACTTGCAATCTGCAGGTCCCAGGTTCGAATCCCGCCATGTACCAATGTGTTTTTCGATTTCCGATTTACATATGTACATTTATCCGACGTTCTTGCGGTGAAGGAAAACATCGGGATGCAACCTGCACTTGGCCAGCGTGGTTGACTATGGCCTAGTCACCCCTAACTTAGGGTAGGCTCCGAGCCCCTCGGTGGGGACGTATAGTGAGCTGATGATGGCAAATGACTCTAGCTTGCTTGTTTGCCAATTTCTGCTATAAAATTAATGTTATAAGTTTTAACACCAAAGCTATTATCTTTATTTGTTACATAACATTATTTAGGAACCCGACACCGCAATCTGCTTTTACTATTCCTAATGAGCGAGCGAATTCACTTCGTATGTCCTCGAGTATATCACACATAGGGTTGCCACTTTTTTAATTAAAAAATTGACAATCGACAGTGGTAGAGCCCGCTTTAACATCTTCGCATGAATCGGCCCGGCTCGCCCGGTGAAATACCACGACCACACAGAAGACAGGCGTGAAGTGGAAGCAATTCCGCGTTTCGTCTGATGAGTGTGCGTCCCGGAGGCCTAATTTAGTCCTCTTTCCCTTCCCATCCTTTTCTTTATAAGGAAAGGATGGGAAGTGGAAGTCGACTTTACGGATGAGAGGATGCATGGAAAGTGAAGATATTTTCTTTCTGTGCATCCTCTCCTCCGTCGATTAAAGGTAGGCAGCGCATATGCAATTGCGTATGTCTATGGGCAGCAGTCACTTCGCTATTTCAGCGATTTCAGGTGGCCGCTCGCTCGTTTGCCACCTTTTGATATAAAAAAAAACATTTACAATTTATATTTCATCTTATTATTTTAAACCCTGGACAAAATGCACATTTTTCAATAAACCACGAATCTTTTTTAATACCCTTACCTGACTTTATACATGATAAATTTAATTATTTGCGATAAAGAAGCTCTATAGCCGCCATAACATGGAAGTTTACGTCCAAATGGATGTTAGTTTTAAGATATCTCCAGAACGGCTGCATGGATTTTGCTGAAATTTGGCATAATTGGATAATATAGTCTGGAAAAACACATAGGTTAATTAAATTATTTTTCCTTCCGCGCAGAGTTGCGGGCGACAGCTAGTTTTAAAATAAAATTTAGTAAATTGTCAAATAAAATTTGACAGCCCTAGCCCAGTATCGGTTCGTAGGAGTACGTCGGGAATGAAAACGTATAAGCCTTGTGGTTAAAACGTGATTATTAGGAGAGCATTGTGTTACTATATCATGTTACATAGACTCTTCAGAGGTGCGCGGGGGAGGGGAGAGCGCGGGCGCGGAGGGGGAGGGGGCAACAATCTTTACCTACTCGTATATAATTGCCGGGTAAGTTTTCCTAGAAAACTTGTTAAAACGTTTTCTAATTAACAACTTGTTATTCATTATACGATATGAAATTGATAGTCAATCAGGTTAGCTTACAACGTGATAAGATTTTTTACCCGACTGTTGAAAATGAATGAAAATATTTTATAACTCTTACGCCTGTTTTGTTAGCGCCATCTGTTGATCGAATTATTGACTGACTATTGGTATATTATTTTATTTAACTATCTTACTAATATTATAAATGCGAATGTTTCGATGGATGGATGTTTGTTTGAAGGTATCTCCAAAATAGCTCCTAACAATCCTCGTCTGGAAGAACACATAGGCTACTGATTAAGTTTTTTTTTATTTGCGCGCGGATGGATTCACGAGCAACAGCTAGTATGAAATATAAATATAAACTGAAAGATATCAGAAAGCCACACCATTAATATTTGCATTTTTATATCATCAGTATACTAAAGCTGTCGTAAAACGAGACCCAATGTAAACCTATTCCGATAAATCTAGAGGCTCAAATGTCCCGGCTAACTTGATACTAAGTCGTTAGTCTGATAGAAATTATAAGGCCCATAACAAGGTATCTTAGATCGGGATAAATGCGGACAGTCCTCAGTAATGAGACCCTAAACCCCTCCCCCCTACACCACCACAAGTTTCATCTTACCAATCAAATTTAACAAAACGATAAAAAAATAATTATTCTATTCTGTTATGATTTCTTTAAATAAACATAAAAATAAAAAAAATCACTCAAATGGCTCAAACAGTGAGTTTCCAATGCCAAAATATTGTACAAAAAAAACTTACAAATTAAAAAACATCATCTTTTTTAATTTGGTATTTTACCTATTTAGCTATAGCTGGCCAGCATTTGCTCGATTGCCACCTTTAGCTAAAATATTATGTAGATAAAATAAACTTGTATAAATAGGCATTGATTACAATTTAAATAATTTATCCGGTCGCTTGACTCCTTTAAGTCAATTCAAGCGTAAACAGCGAGCATTCATACGAATCTCATAGACAATTGCACTGGACACGTGTAATCGCTCTGTTTAATTTACCCTTATACGAGTACCTTCATCTAACATAACGCGTTTAATTCGTTCAGCGTTTAATTTTTGCGTACTTTTTTTCTGTTTCATATTCATCTAAACAAAATATGGTCTAAAGCAATCGTCTAATGCCGGATTAAAATACACAACAGTACAGATTATTTTCGTAATGCAATGATTACTTGTTGTATTCGTCAGATGAGTGTTCATGGTGCAACAAGAGCATTGGCAGCGAGAGCGGCGCGCTGCAGCAGGCGGGCGCCGCGTTCTGCTCCGAGCTGTGCTTCAGCCAGTCCAGGCGAGCCAACTTCAAGCGCGCCAAGACCTGCGACTGGTGCCGGCATGTGAGACACACCGTGGCTTACGTTGACTTCCAGGTACTATATAAATATATTCTTTATTTTCTTACCATCAAGAATGATGAAAGACACTTAGAGTCTACTTTGTATCGTAATATTAAATATTTATGTTGTATTTTCAGGATGGTGCAACACAACTTCAGTTTTGCTCAGACAAATGTCTTAATCAATACAAGATGCATATCTTCTGTCGCGAGACGCAGGCGCACCTCGATCTCAACCCTCACCTGGTGAGCGCCGCATCCTCCACCAATCTCATCACGCCGGAACTCTGGCTCAAGAATTGTAGGAGCAGATCAGTGTCTCCCACGTCCGAGAGATCCGCCTCACCGAACATTGAAAACTTAACTGTTAAATCCACAATGGAAAAAACTGATCACAACCCTGCGAGGAAATCTCCTCTGCCGATAATAACGGTCGCTCCGGCTGCGAAACTCATGATTCCAAAGACTACTGAAGAGAAAATTCAAAAATCTCCAGATTTGAAAAAAGACAGAACTAAAATGAACACACGCAAGCGCAGGTCTTCTAAATGCTCGGCGACGGTGACGTCACAGAACTTGCGTCAGCACACTACGACACCGAAAGCTCAGGACTTGCGGCTGTGCAGCCCCTCACTAGACGGGTCATCGCCTAGTTCAACTGTCGGCACAGCCGGCATCAGCATCATTCATTCCCCTCCGCATCCCATAAATCATTCAGCACCACAACCTCCATTCAATCCTATATTCGGAATGCCACCTCCGGTTTTCGATCCACCACCACAAATGAACGATCACAGATACATGTTCCAACCTAGGCTAGGTTTTATGCCGCGACCTGGCTTGATACCTGAACGACCTCCTTTAATGCCTCCTCTTAACTTCGCCCAACCTCTCGGCCAACCTCCGCCGGTTACAGTATTAGTTCCTTACCCAGTAATACTACCGATTCCACTGCCCATTCCGATTCCAATACCATTAACTTCCTTCATACAAGCACATTTGAGTAAAGTGAAAAAGGAAACGACCACCGAAGACACAGAAGGTCCTATTGACTTCACAATAAATAGTGACAAAAAGAAAGCCGCGAATACAACAGACGCTGAAAATATTGAAATTCAAGCAGCTATACAACAAACATTAGAACCAATCGTTGAAGAAAATGAGAGAACGGACGATAAAAATGAAAATAATGAATCCAAAAATCCAGAACAAACATTGCCTAAATTTAAAATAACTAGACTAGGTAACAAAATGGCGAAAATTGTCTCTAAAACAAGAGAACAGTCAGAATCTACGAGACCTCTGCGGAAGCGACGAAGACTCGTTGAAGTTACAACAGAAGACGACCCAATCATTCCTAAAACTAGGAAAACAGTTGAAGTCTAGGCATAAACGTATAAAATAGTTTAATAACTCTAAACTTTTTAATACATATCACAATTAAATACGATAGTTAAATACGAACTGAGTTCAGTTTACGTTCAAACAGCTAGTCTTAGATTTAAGATGTGATTTAATAATTCATGATATAATACTTAGTTAAGTTAGGCAGCACTATTAATGTGATATTAGTAACATAATTTTAATTCGATGTAAAATAAAAAAATAAATACTACATTTGAGCATTTTTATTGACAACGACTGAATACTTTGTTATAGGAAATAATCACTAGATGGAGCCGCAAGCATTACTAAAGTCCGAAGAAAACGCATACAGATAAATTAAATTACAATTTTTACTAAGACAGTTTCTTGCAGGAGGTCGCTAGTGAGCTATCATAACCACGTAATCTCTACTAAAAATAACGCCATCTTTTATCAAATTCAGAAACTAAATTGTCACACGATAAAAACAACAAAGAAATATTCTATTAAATATTTATTTTATAATATAATATTCTAATAAGCTATTACTAGACATATATCGTTACATTTCTCAGCTGTATCGATTTATAACATTTTGTTGTCTTTATTTTTTCACAGATAACGTACTTAAGGCATAATTTGTTTTCGCAGTGGAAACCTACATTCCACAGTAATCGACACATGTTTGCATTGAACAAAGGTAATTTTATCAGCTGTAAAAATATTAAAATGTGTCACCGTATACGTGACTAATATTACAACTATTCAAATAATGTTTATACGCAAAATATCAATAATAAAGTTAAACCACACTCATGATGTAAACTGTAATAAAACATTTAAATCTTACTAATTTTGTATCTCAAGCTCAGCTGCACGGATTTTCGATTGCGTTTGGCATAGACGGAAAACATCTGGAAGAACACATAGGCTACTAATTTTCTTATAAATTCCAGGCGGACGGAGTCGCGGGCGACGGCTAGTCTATTATAAAAATTTAGAAATTAAAAATGCAATATAATGCTATACTTCGTAGTACCAACATTCAACTTTAAATAGGTCCAATTAAGAATATAATTTGGGAAATAAAAATCCAAAGAAATTCAAAAGCTTTAATGTCTTAAAAACATTACTTAAATCATTCAGAGAAAATAATAATTTCTATCATCAACAAATTATTCTTAGCAATACAAGTTGACTGCACAAAATGGATGTTTCTTACATTCCATGAATTTCCACTACAGAAACATGTATAAAAACATATTGCCCTCATTCGGAGAAAACAGACAAGTTTTTACATCAATATTTCATCAGTGGAAATGCACATTAAAACATCTATTTATATTGTACAAAATAAAATTGAGATCCAATTGAAAATATTTGAAACAAAAATTACTTTCTAAAAAAAAATTTAGTTTAAAAATTATTAAAGCATTATTGGATGTTTCTTAACACATTGAAAAACAATATAAACACAATTCTGACAAATATAACACAATGCATTATGATAAAAGATAATTTAATGTGAAGGTGACTACACGAAATAAGCTGATGAATAAATCTTTTACAATATTTAACTTTTTTTTTTAAACTTTAAATGACACTTCGCTTTGCGACAACTTTTCCATTCTAAAAATAGCAGCATTTAATGTGTTAATTAAAATTATAAACTCTATACAACTATGTAGTAACATTCTTGTATGTATAATCTAGTCAAGATATCAAAGTATACATATATTGTAGTTTGAATCAAATATTTCATAAAACTCATTTCACCCGTAACTTAGGGTAGGCTCCGAGCCCCTCGGTGGGGACGTGTGGTGAGCTGATGATGATGATTTCATAAAAAATCTTGTGTTAATTAATATTACATTCCGATACTTCAAAATGTATTTTAGATCATTTAATTTGTGTATGAAAAAGCCTTTTCCACATTTTATTATCTATGCAGATCTATGTAACATAATCCAAAAAAGATTTTATATAAGTATAAGTAAAATTTGCAATTATATTTAACATTGTGTAGACACCTTAACATGAAGTTACTAAAACCATAGAGTTGAGTTATTGTTTATTGTTATATAAATCCCAAAGAGTAATCGCTCCGTCAAGTCCCCCAGCCGCCATAATATGTGCATTCCAAAGTGAAACTTTCTCAGTGGAATAAACAACATCTTGTATCGCTTGTCTATGTTCCGTCAGCACAACTAAAGGACGGAGAGAAAACCAAGAAAATATACGGATGTGACCATCCCAACCGCCAGAAACGAAAACTTTTCCATCCATTCGGGATTGTACTTTATTTATCCCTGGGTTTTTAATAGCGACATCCATCTTGTGAGCCAAGCTCAAGTCTTTTCTTCCTATACTAAATATTTGCACCATGTTCGAGGCGTTTCCGATAATACCCCTCTGTTGTTCAACGTGAAAGTCAACGGACATCGGACATTCCTTAGTCTGTAACTTGCTGATACATTGACTAGTATTAAGATCCCATAGCAGCAACCATCCTGCTTCATAGCCCACTATAAGGCAAGGCTTCTCACTAGTTAATTCAACATACTTCATACACATCGGATCACCGAGTTTAGGTGAAGTGTTTACAGGGGTAAGGGAACCCGTTTTCTCTCCTGAAAAATTGTAGATTGTAATACTAGATTCCCTATCAGGTACGTAGAGTGTTTCGAGTTTTGTGTTGGCTTCAAAGCGACAAAAACCAGGGTAATCCAAATCTATTAAAGTTTCTTCTTTATATCCAGAGTTGGTTAAATTAAAAATTTTGAATTTGCCACCCTTCTCTTGAGTTATGAGCTGGTCGTTGGTGTGAATAAGATGGAGGATGGGAGCTTGACCCACTTTGATTTTTTGTTGGACCCGGTTTGTCTGAAAAATTGAAAAAATTATTTACCCCTTCCACTACCAAAGATCAGAAGGAAAAGAAAGATATAGCATTATGTTTTTTTAATGTTGATCAGTGACTTTAGGTAAACAACTCTGTTTAATAAGATTAAATTAGATATAATTATTACATCATACTTCATACTATTCATTATTAATATTATAAATGAGAATGTTCAGATGGATAGATGGATGGATGTTTGTTTGTTTTAAGGTATTTCCAGAATGGTTACGTGGAACTTGCTTAAATTATCAATAGTTAGAGCATAGTGTGGAAGAACACATAAGCTAACAAGATTTTTTATTCTGCGCGGATTGAGTCTCGGGCGACAGCTAGCGTACAACAAATTAGACTAAATTGGTAAAATGTCATGTAAATACATATCATATGGAATTTAAAAAAATATATTAAATTAAATTCACATCTCTACCAATTCTCAGTTCAAACATGTATGGTAAATACAAATATTTAAATTCAGGTTGCGAAACACCGCCAGTAAGCAACGGAAATTTTTCTAGGTCAACAAATGAGGGTAGTAAACAAAGGAATACGCAGCTGACGAAATACTCATGGCGAATGATTCTGATATTTAATGCGAGTTTTATACGCAGGTAAGCGTGGCTCGACAAAACGATGGATCTCCTTGGAATATTTGATCTTACCTGAAGGTTGTATGCATAAACATATCCGTTTTTTGAACCGGCTAGTAACCTCTCGAGTCCGCCGGGAAGAAAGCTGAATGCCAACGAATACACCGGCGAATTGTCGACATTACGGATGGTATAAACTGGGTCTGGTGGTAGCAGTGCCATGACTGGTCAAGCTCAAACCGAAATATTTGGTCGGAATATAAAAACAAAAATAATATTAAAATTAATCAAGCCATCAGAAACTAAACCCAACTACGCACAACACAAAACTGACACAAAAACAAGAAAGTTTACCAATTGACGTTTAAATATCGGGTGCGTTCAAAATACAAATAAATTTTAACTATTTTATTCAAAGCCACTTTGCGCTAAAAGAAGTATAACTCTTATCCAATATAATATTTACTGTATAAAATAATTAAAAAATTATGAACAGTTGTCAATTCGCAGATTAATCGTTTGTAAGAATCGAATGAAAATGGTAACTTGATGGCTTGATGGTAACTTTAATTTTTAATGACCAACACTGTGCCCTAATTTGTCAGATGCTCAGATGTCCGTCAAGCACTGCGACAACTCAAAATTCTCGTGAAGCTTCACCTTTGTATATAGTGTTTTACAAATTTACGAAGTTTTGAATGAGATCCAATCGATTGTACCTAATAATGGGTGCCATATGGAAATTAAGAATACTAATTTAATAGTCGAAAACACAAATGGCTACGGAGACGCTTTTAAAAACGAACAAGCATTCAAAGTATATATCATATAGGAAAATTTTGTATCATAGGTTTTTTGTTGGCCTACTATTGTTTATAGTGGTGTCTCTTGTGTTTACTGTGCTTTTTAATATTTACGCGGGAAGTTCGCCACGGACCGAAATTTACGAACCAGTGAGTTTGGACTTAGTGAGTTTACAAGTGACGAAAATTAAAATAAATGCACCTTATTCTGCCCCTCGCTATGGCAATTGTACATATTGGAGTTGTTTTAACGTATACAAATGCGGGAGAGGCGGCCACGATAAGATAACTATCTACATATACCCATTAAGAGAGTATAGAACGGAAGAAGGTAGACTTATATCGCAATTGTCTAAGGAGTTTTACGAAATACTAGATACGATAAGACATAGTAAGTATTATACAGCGAATCCTGAGGAGGCTTGCTTGTTGGTGCCCAGTATAGACACACTGAATCAGAATACATTTTCAAGTAAACATGTATCTCAAGCTTTGCAATCTCTCCAATAGTAAGTATACATATTCATATATTTTAAGTAAAAACACAGTACACATAAATTTTTCTATCCCTCACATGAAAGAAATAGGTTTCAAATATAAATTATATTTTTCTATAATAGTAAACTAGTAAAGCTATGTATATTAATAAAACTGAAAGGCATTGAATGATTTGTGTTGCTGATAAGGAAATATCAATTTAAAAATTGTCTATATGTACATCGGGATCCATCCAGCTGGTCTGGAGACATTGTAATAACTATCAATCCATCTATCCATCTTAACATTTGCATTTATAATATTAGTAAGAGTACTTATTGTAGAATGATTTGTTGTAGCTGGAATAATGGTGAAAACCATCTCATATTCAACATGTTACCAGGCAGTTCACCCAACTACGAAACAGTTATCAATCTCAATACAAGCAAAGCTATTATAGCAGGATCAGGTTTCAACACATGGACTTTTCGATATGGATTTGATATTTCTATACCTTTATACAGCGATGTTGCCAGAGGAATTGACAATAAACAACCAGAACAGAAGAATTATTTAATAATATCAACGCAGGAGAATATACCAGATGATTATTTAGCGGAATTACAAAATATAGCGTCATCATCAAATGATTTATTATTACTCGGCAATTGTAAGGAATCAAATAGAATAGATCATACGAAACGTTGTGAATATACAACTGGAAGAATATTTAACTATCCGGATATATTAAAAGAGGGTATGTTCTGTCTGGTTGTTCGTAGCGCAAGATTGACTCAGTCAGTATTAATGGATATATTAGCATCGCAATGTATTCCTATTATTATTGCTGATACTATAATTTTGCCGTTTAATTCACATGTGGATTGGCATCGTATATCATTGTATTTACCCGAAGATAATATAAAAAATCTATTAAGAATAGTACATTCTGTCAGTAAGGAGAGACGTGGCGAGCTTTATTGGCAATTGAGATGGGTATATGAGAAATATTTTGCATCTATAGAGAAAATTACGTTGACGACTTTAGAAATATTAAATGAAAAGGTTTTCCCCTTAGCTGCTAGAATGTATGAAGAATGGAATATGCCAGAACATTTGGTGAGTTAATTTAAATTCTTTATTATCAGTCTGTGTCAGTCTACTGTTAGACATGACCTTCCCAAAGCCTGGTATGTATCATCAGTTCACTATACATCCCCATTGAAGAGCTCGGTGCCTAAGTTACTACCCCTTAGTCAACCATGCTGGCTCAGTGTGGCCTGATTGACTTCACACATATGTTTGAATTTCTTCGCAGAAATGTACATATGTAAATCGAAAATCGTAAAACACATTGATACATGGCGGGATTCGAACCCAGGACCTGCAGATTACAAGTCACGTACTTAACCGCATGCCACGCTTTAGTATGTTGTCGGTTCTCAGAAATTAATTTTATTTACTTCGCGATTTTGGATTTATATACTACTTAAAACTAGACAAAAAAAAGCAATGGAATAGCTAAAGTCCTTTCTCTTGTTTACTTTTTCCTATTTATTTTGTGTCTCTTTCTTACATATTTATGTAACATATCTGATTTTTGTATTATGTATCCATCATTTGTTCACTATGTGTATTCATATGCTGGTTTATACAATGTTTTATCGCAAATAATATAATAATTAATTATTTATAATCTATGTTTAGTACGGTCCAGTGAATCCGCTATTCCTGCCAGTAACAGCTCCCAAGTCTCCGGGCTTCACCGCAGTCATACTGACGTATGATCGTGTTGACAGTCTGTTCACACTTATCAAGAAGTTGGTGAGGACACCCAGCCTTGCCAAGATACTGGTCGTCTGGAATAACCAGAAGAAACCACCACCACCTTGTGAGTTTAATTTTTTTAGTTTTTTTAACATTAGCTACTAATCTTATCTTACATCTTACTAATATTAGAAATGCGAATATTTAGATGGATGGATAGATGTTTGTTTGACGGTATCTCCGGAATGGCTGCATAGATCTTGCTGAAATTTGGCATGGATGTAGAACAGTCTGGAAGAACACATAGACTTTTTAATGTTTGTTTTAAATTCCGCGCGGACGGAGTCGCGGGGGACAGCTAGCGCAAAATTGGTACGAAATAAGCAATAGGGTATTTAAACCAGTCACGAAAGGGTAAACAAATATTTTGATGTCTGCTTATCCCTTTCTACAAATAAAACCAAACAATATATTACAGGGTGTTCAAAAAAACATCGCTATATATCGTCATAATAGCTTTGTAACTATAGTTGAGGAAAAAGTAATTTGTCAACTGTCTAAAATAAACTCCAGCGTAAATGTAGTCGGAATAACTGTCTAACTCGCACACAAAGTTCTATTATGGTATATCCAAAGTAAAAACGACCAAGTATTTAGCCCAGTTCAGTTTCCACTTCCATTCATCTCCAGTAAATAATACAATGAATTCCTTAAGAATTTCTATTTCAAGAGACCATCTAAATAAGTTCTATTGGAATGAGCAATAAAGCCGGAACGTTTTAATAAGATTTCTTTTATTATTCCTCTTTGAAAAGACGCCTTAAGTTATGCAATATGCCATAGACAAGGCGGCTGAATAAGACATCAAACAAACGAGACACGCAACTTGAATTGTATATACATTTACATTTATGCAAAGATGTAATTGAATGCCAACTTCGCTTACGAAGAAAATCCTGATTTAATTACTTTATAGTTGCCGAATTCAAAATTGTACAATAGTTATTGTGACAGTCTTTGAGCAAACATTTTTTCTAAATCTTTGAACACCCTATGTACTAAAGAACCCTTTTGGAATTCAGAATTTTATATTTTGTGGAACTCTAAAATAATCAGACACTATCTTACATGCTGAATTTTATTTTATGAGGTTCCATAAGAATTAGTAATAAAACTTTTTACACCATACTAGCTTTCGCCCGCGACTCCGTCCGCGCGGAATTAAGAAAACTTAATTAGTAGTAGTTAAGTTAAGTCTATGTGTTCTTCCAGATAATGTTCCTACATCTATACCAAATTTCAACGAGATTCATGCAGCCGTTCCGGATATACATTCATACAAACATCCATCCATCTAAACATTCGCATTTATATTAGTAGGATTATATGCAATTTTAAGTAAACCTATCAAACATGTCTATTGTATAAATATTGAAACGTATAACACAACGAATTGTTGACCTTTAAGACTTAGATTACGCAAGTCACTAGGTTATTTAGTGTAGGTTCCAAACGTCCATTAGCATTCAACTTAGATGTATGCAGAAACGGATCAAAGCGGCGCACAGAACAGCCCTTGAGTCAAGTCTTGAAGAATGTTAGCACTATTGGCAGTTTGCCAACTTAAAATGCCGAGGAAGTATTGCCCCTTGAAATCAACTATCGAGTACAATAAAAATTATGAAATAAAAGATATAACTTAATTATTTTCCTAATGATAAATATTTAGTTCGTCCAATATAAAAATTCGCTTAAAATTTGCCTTTTTTCGTAATAAAAGTGTCATCTTCAAGTAATATATTTTTACAGTAAAGTAATTAAATTTATGATCTACGCAACTGTGGATTTTTCTTTATGGTTGATACATCATTTAGTTACTTTTTCGTCTTTCATAAAAGACTAGCCTTTGCCCGTGACTTCGTCTGCGCATAATTAAAAATGGGTTAAATGTATCACACGTATTACTCGAGATTAAATGATATATCTGTGCCAATTTTCAATAAAATATGTCGAGCCGTAACAAAGTATACGCGTATACACTTTTCCGGGACCCTAAGTAGCGTATGTTTTCTTTCAGGCTGTTTTCTATTCCTATGCAGCCGTCCTGGAGATACCTAGAAATAAACATCTATCAATCCATTTAAATTTCAAAATATTCGCATTTATAATATTAGTAAGATAGTCAGATTGATCTAAATTAGTATCTTATCTCTAAACCGTTGAACGATGCCTTTAAATTTGGACACTAAGCGATAGATTGGATAACTAATTATAAAAT